TGCCACACAGCACCCAGCGCGTGGGTGCTGCCCCGTGCCCACCTGCCGCATCACCACCCATGTGGCTGCATCCTGACATAGCCGACGCGCAGATCATCACCTGCTTGATTGCCGGCGAGCGTGCAAGCCTGCCAACCGCAGCACCCTCACGGAGCATGCACCACCTGTCCCCTCCCTGCATCCTGCGCTGCTCCCGTGGGGCTGGGGGAGGCCGTGCTCGAGTGCATCGTTGCCACACCGAGCAGCAAGAGGCAAACAATAAATGTCTTGTATGAGCGATTGCAAAGAAAATGGAAAGTCGTTTAGTCTCAGTCTGTGATGCTTAATGGGTCTGAGAAGTGATCTAATTGCTCAGCTGCCTCCTCACGAGCATCCATAACTCAGGTGCCAGGACTACCAGCGCTCGCCTCACTGGGAACATGCGTTTGTCCCTAATTTGCTCCCTGACAGCGCTGGTAGTTGTTCAGCACATCGCCACCCTCTGTTCCAGCGTGCTCTGATGTGTTTGCTAGTTATTAGTGACAGCTCAGGGGTGGCACCAGTCCCCTCAGGAGTGATGTGCCGCATGACAGTGTGCGGGAAAGGCAGAGGCAGGAGTGGACACAAGGAGCCCCCAGGGAAACGGACAGCCAAAGCAAGAGAGAACGGAGGCACAGAGGACCCCAACTGCCACCAGCTGTCCCCAGCCCTGTGCCAACCAATGGACAAAACCCAAGCTGCCAGGAGGGAAAAAGTAAGTCATTGACACTGCAGCCGCGCTGAGCAGGACATTGCCTGCAGCAGTGCTGAGGGCTAATGTCAAAAACCCCGTTCACCGTCTGTGCATCCTTCCCCTTCTCATGACCTCAGTGCTCATGCTAGACCCCGGGTTCCAGCTTTCATCCCAGGGAGCCAGCTGCTCCTGAGGAGCTTTGACATCCTGCAGCCATCCCATGCGAAACTCACTTGGGTCACTGTAGACAAAAAAAATGGCACTTAAGCAGCCTGTAACATGGTTAAAACACTGGGAGCACAGTGCAGCAGAGCTCCCTACCTGGTATCCCAAGGGACACCAACCAGCCTTGGGGACACCAAGTGTTTCTGACAAGTTCCCCAAGACATTTATCCCCTAGAGAGGGGAGAACCGAACATGGTGGGGACTTGTGAAACCCACCGGGACACAGCTGCTGCATGAAACTGGAGCCCTGGGGCCAGCTGGCAGTGCTCGTGTTCCAGCTCCATGTGTCCAGCTGTGTCACCAAGGTGCCTCCAATGCTTTTGCCAGGACAGCAGTGTCTCAAGTCTGCCTGGCATCTCCCCCAGCACTTGCCTGTACCTCTACGATGTCACTGATGTCTCTCCAAATCAGTGAGGTGTCTACAACAGCACTATTTAACTAGATAAGATCCTACGATGGCCACAGTGCCTGTCGCTGGCCATGGGGACCAGCAAGCTCGACAAGCCTCCATGATCCCCAGGTCAGTACAATCAGCGCTGGTTTTCCTGCAGCACCTCAGAAACTTCTGGCCTCCCCATGCCTCTGCCAGCACCATCCCTGCCCGCCCGGCATTGCCTCTGCTGTTCGCTCCAGAAAGGAAGCCGCCTGCGGAGGCAGGGGCGCAGACGGGCGCAGGGCTGCTTCCCTCTGGCACAACCTTTCTGATGAGGATGGGTTTATTCAAACCTGACCCTGCTTCTCATGTGTTCCTGCCCTGTCTCCATCCATCCCTTAATCACCACCAGCTGATCTCTCCCACCCGGTTTCCGTGCTCTGACGCACTCTGCCTCCCCATTCTGACCCAGAAGGCTTTCAGTCAGCCAAGTGCTGGCAACAGTCTGACTTACTCACCCAGGTTAAACATAACACATGGATTTTGGGTGTTCCCCTTCAGGTTCCTCTGTCCGCAGCAAGGCTGCCTGTACTGGGTCATTTGCTGCACCACGAGGCAGTTTGGCTGGGGCAGCTCACCTAGCACCGTTTGCCAGAGGGCTGACGCTGACAAAGGGCCACCACTCCTACCTGCAGCTTAACCGCTCCTTTGACGCCGGCCTCCCCCCCCAGGAGCAGGACAGGCAGCCCCAAAAAAAGGCTGCTCCAAGCCACAGCCCTTGTGAGTTAGGTGCTTGAGACCCAAAAATCCCCCAAGCTCAGCAGAAGGGGAGCTTCACCACACCACTGTGGCAGGCTCAGTAAGGCAAAGGCTTGCTGATGAAACAGCCCAAAGATGAGCAGTACCAAATGAACACAAAAGCTTAGATCCATGTTTCTTGCCCCGGGGAGAGGCTGGGGACGCCGGCAGCTCCAGCAGCACTGCCCTGCCCTTTGCTCCCAGCAAGCGGCCAACCAGCAGAGGATGCACATGTTTGCAAGGGCCTGAACTCATCCGCCCGCTCCTGGGCTGGGATGCTCCAGGCCGCCTGCTTCAGCACTGTTACACAACCGCTGTTATGAAGAAAATTCAATTACAGAAGCTATTTGTAAGTGCAAGTGCACCGGTGAGCATCAGAGAAATGTGAGCTGTGATGGTCCAGAGGTTACTGGCTGGCCCGGGGCGAGCAGATTGCCTCCTGGGGGAAGTTACTTCTCTTTGCAGTGGCTCGAGCAGAGGAATTTCCAGGAGATGAAAAGAAAAGCCAAGGCAGTTTCATAGAGTAAAATATCTTAATATTTATTGTGTCTCAGGACAAAAGAGTTCTACTCGATACACAAAACGAGTTAAAGCAGCATATAATACTGACAATCAAGTCACAGCTGACTCGGTGCAAGGACACCTACCAAGGTAAAGGCACCAGGAGCTACATCACCAAACCTCACTACAGCTTACAAAAAATCACTACAGCCTGTACTTAGAAAAGTACAACTATAAAAAAGTATATAAAACCCAGGGCAGCGATGAGAGAGAGCTTGGCAACAAGCTGAGACCTTGCTGAGCCAAGGGCTTCAGGCAGGCAGGGCTGTGTTTTAACAGGGTGACAGCCCCATCTCAAGAGCAACCGCATCCATAGAGTGAGGGGACGTCAAGGGGCTGCCGGAGACGAGGGGAAGCATTGCTTTCCCCACAGAGGCACTGAAAATAAGCACTGGGAGTCCCACAAGGCCGCCAGCATAGTCGGTTCGGCACGGCACTCAAGTGCGCTGCCGAGGAAAGAGCCGAGGGCTGCGGTGCCCGGAGGAGCGCGCTTGCTGTAACCACCGCAGCTACGCTAATTATCCCACACAGTGGCACAGCAGAGTAGTGTTAGGACAAGTCCCTGAGCGCACCAGGACAGCTGCTGCACTCATTTCTATGAGCTAGTTGAGAAGAAGATCAGTCAGTTCAAAGCAAGATTTCATGAAGTGGCATCCAGAGGAAAACTGGAGGTGGTGGCATCCTCCCCAGCTGCAGAGAGCATACCCTACAATGCACAAGACAAAGCATTACCAGACAAGGCTGGATTTATACACAGCTTAAAATGACATAGCAGATACCCTCTTGCAGGTGCCCTCTATCCCCACATCCCCGATATGTGGTACCCGCCGCTGTGCTGAAGGTCCCCAGGGGTGACCAGGCAGCAGCCAGGGATGCAGAAGCAGCCCACCAAGCTTACATCGCCGGACAGACGTACCCAGCCATAGCGTGCTGGGAGCCAGCTACACCATCTCGTACTGATTGTTCGTGATGTATTGGGACAGACAGCAGGCAAGAATGATGCCAATCAACTGAAAAAGAGAAAAAACAACCCACACATAAGAGGTAGCCAAAGCCAGGATGCAGTGTTTTAGGGGAAAAGCCTGACAAATTGCTCCAGAGCATCAGTTTTACAAAATCCAAGGATGGACAGTGGGATTTACAAACCAAAATATGGGCTGCTACAGTCCGCTTCAGACTGAGAGAGGCTTAAGCAGAGGATCCTGGCAGACATCAGCCAAACAAGCTACTCACAAGAGATGCTCCACGTCCTGTCCTGTTACATTTTGTTTCATAAAACATCTACTGTTTTACGGTAATTTCAGAGATCACACAGACACCAGGAGCGTCACAGCCAATTACACAACCACTAGAGAACAGCAGCCACCTCTCCCTGTTGCAGGGACAGCAGGGAAGCAAGGTTGCTGTTTCTGCATCAGCATCTGAAGGACGTGCTACTGCTATCACAATGTGGCCTCCCAGCCCCTGTGCAGACAATTAGGGCCAGACCCTGCAGGAGTTTGACCTCCAGAAGCAAAGTTAGAGGCACATTTGCATGATGGGTCCCTGCCGGCCTCACAACACAGCAAGGCTTGCTGAAAGAGCGATAAAAGCCAGGAACCGATTACAACTCCCAAGCCTGGCATCAGCCAAGATAATTTTGCAGCTGGGAGTGCGCAGCTTACCGTTTGTGTGTCAGCCATGTCTCAGTGACCCCACAGCGAGCACAGCCCAACTGAGGAGGAGAGCAGGACGAGTGGCTGGGCACAGCAGAGTAGCACCAGCTCTCGGGCTCTCCTGGCCGCAACTGAAAGCATTTGGTAGCACAAGCCACAACGAGGGGCTGTTGGCTCCCACCTCTCCCCCAGTTTAGCGCATCCGTTACGGGAAATGCACAGTGGCACGCCCATTACGGGGGAAATATCTTGGTGGGGTTCCTTCTCCCGGTCAGCTGGTGGTCCCGGGGGGCAGTTCCTTAAAGCTCATGCCACAGACTCTGTGTGCTGGATCAAGGGGAGGGTGAATTCGAGCCCCTCCAAAGTCAAGACCAGCTGAGCTCGCCCTCCAGCTCAGCAAGATTCCACAAACCAGCTAAAGAAGAGCCAGCTGTTCTCCCTACAGCTCCCACTGCGGTGCATCGGAAAACCCTCAGCACCTCGGGAAACCCCACCACGGCGTCAGCGTGGCGGAGCTGGGGGCAGGGGCCTCTCGTTTCCTGCCGGAGCAGGGGCCGGCGAGCATACCGCTGCTGCGGCTGCTGCAGGAAGTGTCTGACAGGATAAAGGAGAGGTTGGGGAGAGGGAAGGAGAGGAGGCAATCACAGGGTAAGGCGGAGTGTGGGGCACGAGCCACCAGCACAAGCGGTGCCCTGCAGTCACTCACAGGGACCCAGACACACAGAAGTGGTGCCAAAGTGCCTCACTGATAAAAAGGAAGGTTGGTGAGTAAAGGAAAAGGAACAGCGCGATTTGATCCCTGCCAACAGCAAACACTGGGAGTTCACCTGGCACAGCACAGGCTCCATTTGGGTTTTCTTAGTCAGTTGTTTCAGACAGAAGCTCATCTCAAGTAACGTGGGCTCACAGAAACAAAGCTGGTGTTAGAGCCCTGGGTTTAAAAGACTGGAGACAGGGCAGTGGTGGGATTAAACCCAAGGGGAACGTGCAGAATAGCTGCTCCTCCCTTGCTGAAACAGGCTGTGCCTTTTGTACCCACACCAGACTTTGCACAGAAATTAGATATCTCCAGAGACATGCTAGCTTCGCTCTGCACTCCTCCTGTGCCAGACAAGGGAGATTTACCTGGAAGCACGCGATGCCAAAGGAGATTCCAGCCACAACACTCATTTTCGACTCCATCGTTGACGTTACCAGGAAAAAACAACCCTGCAGAGGGGGGAAAGTGAGCACGTGGGTCCAGTGCTTTTCACCCCACAGGAGCACAAACTAGCACCTCCCTAGATCAGCAGCAGCTCCAGGAAGATGCTCCTGAGCAGGCAGCTGAGGGCTTCTGGCTGCCACCCTCCCGCCTGACCTCGGCGAAGTCGTTTCCCTATCAGTGCTGCACCAATGAGCCTCCCAGACCAGCTGCCCTCGGGTTGTTCCCAACGGGAGCGTTGGGCTGAGCAAGGTGACTCATCAGAGGAACGCCCCTTGCATCACGGCTGTGCCTGCTGGATGAGGTCACCTGCACTCACCTCGGGTCAGGACTTTGTACAGCCATTGGGAGATGTCAGCGCTGCTGAAACGAACTTTACTGGGAAATTACCTCCTTATTCACCTGTTCTCCAAAACACACAGCCCCCAGCTCAAATGCTTGGGTCTGGCTGGTCCCTGACCTCCAAGGAAGGAGTGGGGTGACCTCAGATATGAGGGAGGGCTCGTTCCTCCATACCCTTCCCCTATCTCCAGGGGAGTCCCTGGGCCACAGGGCATCTGCATCGAGAGAGTAGTTCTCCTCTCAAGCCTCCCAGGGAAGGGCAAGCCCTTCTCCACCTGCCTAGCTCTGCCCCCCCCACCTCCAGGACTTGCAGGGGTATTTTTCTGAGCTTAACTTACATCCACAAATACTTTCAGCTTGGCTTTGCTCAGGTCTTTCAGATCTTCTTCCGAGCAGTCATCCTGGCTCTTGCAGCAGCTCCGGGGGATGCCTCTCTGGGTAAAGTATTCAGTCCTCTCCCAGTCCGAGTAGTTCTGCACCCCGCAGCAGTGCAGCTGGAGGGGGAACCACATTTGGGGAGCACAGTCATACAAGGGTACTGACCCCCTAGTCCCACCATCACTCCCATGGCTCCCCTGCCCACGCCTCTCCAGGAATTGCCCCCATCTCACCCAGCATCTCCTCCCAAACTTGAAAGCCTGTGGTGCAAAAGGATCCCCAGCACTGCGACAGGGATGTTGATAGTGCAGGGGGTTCCAGGGGATGCCCCAGGGCGAGGACAGCGTACCCACCCACCACCACCCAGACACCAGCCCGGGGCACTCACGGTTCTCTGGATGGTGTCCACAGCCTCGCTGTGCCGATCCGCAGTCACGTTGTAGTCCCTCAAGGCCAGGTTGAGGTTACTCTCAAAGTTTGTCTTAATCTGCAAGAGAGAGGTCTCTGTGGCGGTGCCATCCCCTCCCACGCTTCGGGACCCACAGCCCCACATTAGTCACCTCTCGGCCACGGCAGGAATGACTCCGGCCACGGCCAGCAGACATTTCCCCAGCCACCCTGACAATTAAACTCTCTATTAAGGGCAGGCTGGGATGCGCTGTGGCTGCAGGATGCTGCATGTAATAACAACGACCTGCGTGGTACCAACTCCCCCCCGAGCAGGCTGCTCTGTGGTGCGGGAACAGTCAGAGGAGCTTTAATTACAGAAATTATTGCAGAAGATAAAAACAAAGCCAGAAATTAAAGTCCAGGCCTACTTCGCCTGTTCTGGTGGAAGGGCCATGTGCCGTGCCGGGCAGACCCTGCAACCAGCCTTGTCCTTATGGGGACCAAGCTGCTATTTGGGCTGTTTTAGCTAAACTAAGAATGGTTCCCAGCAGCGCCTCTGTCCCTCCAGTGACATCTGCAACTGCACTTGGGTTAAAAACGGCATCAAACTCACTCTGCAGTGTCAGCAGACAGCAGTGGCTGCCCAGACTCACCTCATGCCTGAAGACGAACCCCACGACGGCAGCCACCAGGACGATGAGGAAGATGAGGGACAGGAGCATGGCGTACTGCAGGCAGAAAGGGTGGGATGGGACGGGCGGGATGGGATGGGATGGAAGGGATAGGATGGGGGAAGCAGGATGGGATTGGGATGGGGAAGGATGGGACATGCTGGGACAGGTCAGGATGGGTTGGGACGGGTCAGGAGGGGATGGGATCCCGTCCTGCCCTGTCCGGGGCCACCCACCAGCTTGAGCATCCAGGTGCTG